AAACTAATTAATGTAAAATTATATGCTCACAGCTGCAAAAACTTGTTAGAGGCTCCCTGAGGTGATACAGTGGAGAGAATATCTCCGCTCTTAAGCACTGGAGGCCTTCTAATGGAAAAAAGTGCATAATTACTGCAATTAACACTTCTTGTTGGACCTCTGTACTACATCAGGCACTGGAATATTGAGGAAAGAAGCCAGACTATTTCCTGTTCTCCTGTGACTATTTACTTCAAGCATCTTTTGGAAATTCCCTAAAGGCCCAACAGCATGAGAACATGACATATCCTTGGTGGATATTTATGTGTGCATAGATGTATGTAGGTCCAGCTGAAACAATTTCCACCCAGATCCCAGGGGTACAAGAACTGGAAACTGAGACAAATCCCTGCCAGAATAAAAGGAGTCCAGTTGCTGGCTGGTATGTTAAACGGGATAAACAGCAGAGGATAAACCAATGGTTAAAGGGTTATTTTGCCCCAAACGGAGACTGAGACATGAGCTGACATAAGACCTGTCCTTTTACTCCAAATGTCCCTGCTCTGTGTGCTTCCTTCCTCACGACTGCGCAGTGCAGGATTGCCGTGGGGCAGCAGCTGTGTCTCAGCACAGGCAGAGCCACTAGGATGGACAAAATCACTGGGCAGCAGGAATGCAAGGGTATGGGTGTGAAGACTTAAATAGAAATGCCGCGCAAGAGGCAAAGTCTGGAAGCAGGAAATACAATGCAAGTTAAGACAGACCCAAGTTGTGCTTAGGTGCATGATAAGAGCTAAGTTACAGTGTGCTTCATGTCTATCCTTGAGTCCCATAATGCTTGTTTTATTTTCAGTGAATTGTGATGCAGAAGGGCTCTCTGTAGGGAGGAAATGAGGCCTCACAGAGCCCTAAGTCTGCATCCACTGTGCTAAAAAAGCTTAAGCAGAACAAGAATAATAGTGTTAGCGTCCTAAGAAGCTTTCATTCAAGCAGCAGCAGATGCAAAGGAGGCAGCCCAAAAAGGAGGGAGGTAACATCAATCAGAGCATTAGAAGGCATGCTTCTGCACACACTCCAGCAGAGGCTCTCAAAGGAAAGAGAGCAGATTTGGTACAGGATTGTAAGAAAAAAAAATTGGCTCCTGCTTGTACTGGAATATCCCCAACCTTCACATGGTCAAGCCTCTGCCACAGAAGCCTACTTTTTAAAGAGAGAGCAATTTTCTCCCGAAATTACAAAATTCCAAGACAATGTATTAATATGTGAATTGGCTACCATGACTTAATGTTTAGTTTAGAAGTGACATCTTAAAAAGTTAGCTAGTGCTGGCAGGCCACAGCAAGAGATTAATTTAAAAAAAAAAAAAAAGTCAATTTACTGGCATGTGGTACAGCAGAAAATAATATTTGGTCTTTGAAATTTCCTGTACCTCAGGTGTTGACTGCAGCACGCAAAAGGCTTAAACTCCTAGTTACTGAAGGAGGAAGCAAAAAGCATAACTTGTCTTATGTCCAGGGAAGAGAAGACCAAGAATGTTTTTGGGTGCCTGGCTGACCCACTTTTTTTAATGTAGATGACTGCTTGCTGCTCATAAACTTCACCTGTCTTCAGAGAAGTTTCAACTTCACCTCAACTTCAGAGAAGTGCAGTGATCAGAATACAGTTTATGGGGTTGGAACAACTTGGTAGGTGTCTACTTGACTGTGCATGAGAAAGACAAGTAGCTTATATGTTGACCTTAGTGTTAACCAGGAACCTGAATCAGCAGTAAGTTCTCTGTGATAGCTCAGTCCAAACTCTGTAAGGCATTAGCCCTGCAGTTATTGCTGTTTAGAGATAGTAATGATGAGGAGGGGTATTTTAGTTTAAGGGGAACTGACCCTTTAGAGGGAGGTTTGCTGGTTTGAATGTGATTGCCTTTGATGTGACAGAACATGAAACACACAATGTCTTCTTACGTGGTCCTGAAAACTTAACTTTGGCAAATTTGGAGAGACAGTAATACTCTTCATCGGATCAGCTAACGTGGCTGGATAAATCAATGAGTTTTTGGGTAACCAACCCCCCTTTTTTTAAATACAGCTTTTATGTCTTTTGCCTCTGCAGCTGAGATGCACTTTCCATCCTGTTACTATGGTGTGCACACAAAGGACACAACTATAGGTGAAGGAATGATGATCATGCAAAAAGTCACTTGAGAATGCCAGGGGCCCTGCCTTTTATGGGATAGTGGGGTCGTGGAAAAGAGCTTTTCTTCCAGTCTTCCTCTGCATTTTGCTATTTGCAGTGTCGCCAGCAAACCTCACTCGTCTGGAAGGAGTGGAGATGAGTTGCTGTTTCTCATCTCAAGGGTTTGAAGAGCTGTTTCTCACACTGGATTGCCTGAAGTCTATAAACACTCATTCCTGGCGTAACCGCAAGAGTCTTTTCCAGAGCAAAAGCCACTGTCTGCAATGTTTTGGGAGAACTTCAGAATGGGAATTCAGTACAGCCTAATCCTCCATCTGTTTTAGTAACAGTGTCTAGAGTTGAGAAGTAAAACGCATTCAAATAATAGATTTAAATATACTGATATTCTTTTGGTTTTCAGAACAAAGGACTGTGAGGAGTGAACTCAAAACACTGAAGTATACAGACTACAAACTTTGGTTTAATCATCTCCGTTAATCAACAATCTTTGTAAATTCAACAGTGAGAAAATCAACCTTGTTCATGTTTCCTTCAGCCCACTTCCTGGATTAGCTTCCATTCAGCTCTTACTCTGTTTCCATGTATTAAATTAACTTCTAGCTATTGTGAATGAAAGAAGTAAGTAAGACTTACACCCTGTGGAGTGACAATGGGAAAGGCCTGAAAAGAACATGAACTTGCAAGTTTTGCTGTTTGTGAAGACAGACTTTTTTCTTCATGTTATGTATTAAGTATTTAAGATGGTAAGTTGGCAGGCACACATTAGCTTCAATGACATGAAATTGTACAGCTTAAGACTCTGTCCCTTAGGCTGTCAACGCTCTGAAAGCTCCCAATGCAACACTCAGAAGATGTATTTCCTTTTCCCCACGTGTGACTCTCGGTATTTTGATCTTTGGTAAATGTCAAGCGTGGGGTTTAATTCTGCATTTCCTGGTTCTCACGTAACTTCCGCTTTAACCGAATTCACACATGACTCCTGCTGTAGTTTTCACATGTCCTAACAATAACACACTGATAAAAAAGACCATAGCACACACATAGATACTTGACCTAAATACTGTAGGCAAACAATCTTTTTGCTGATAATGCAGTTCATAAGGAATAAAGGTAAAGAGTGTAGATTACAGTGGGGGGGGGGGTCAGGGAAGTGCACTGCTCTATCAGGAGGGTGCAGGACCTCTTCATTCTGGTGAGGGAGGGAAATGAAGTAAGTGCAAAGATTTGTTTGTCCACCTAATATGACAAATAGAAACTGGTAAACTGTATTATGTCTGTTAATAAGCACTATGGCTTCCGTGTCGGTTCTGCTTGCTGGAGCTTCTTGCTTTTTCAGGACCCAGTGGTGTTCCCCAGACAGAGCTTTTCTAATGACAGAGACTTGGCATGATCCAGTGGGGTGAAGTCACAGAGGTGGCTGGTTTCTGGATGCTGTAATACTGCATGTGCTCCCATAGCTAAATAAAGCAGATCTGCTGATGTTTTGCATTCCACAGCTCAGCTCCAGCTCTACTCCCTGCACGGAAATGAAATGCTGGGGTACTACCTTCCAGGTCACAGAACTCCCCCAGAGGGATGGGTTGTTCTTGGGGACAAACACAAATGGCAAGAGGTAGCCTAGCAGTAGAGCAGTGTCTGGGTTACAGCTCAGGATGTAGCTAGGTTTGCATCTCTACTTGTGCAGTGAGCCCAAATGCCCAGGTCTGACTCGATAGAGGTCATAAGGGCAAAGCAGAGTCACAGCTGCTGTGCCTTAAGCACAGACTCGGAGGTTCTCCCTGTGTGAACCTTTCCCAGCTCAAGCCAGCTCACCTGGAAGAAAAAAGAAGCCCTCTTGGCAGCCACAGGACTTCAAGTTTATTTGACTTCCTCCTAAACACATCAGTTTGCCATCAGTAACTCTGCAGTCCAAAGGCTCTTGGAAAAAACTCCCAGCTCATTCCCAGTCTTACTGTCGGCATGCATGCCAAAGAGCTGAGACAGCTCCCCCCTGGCAGCACTTCTTTCAGGCAGGTCGGCCAGCAGCTTTCCTCCCGGCTGCCTGCCCAGACCATAGAAGGGCTGATCCTTGACCTCTGCCAGCGTTGGTGTCCTGGGATGTCTGTCTGTGCCACGCACACTCTGTCAGGCGGCACAGCAACATATTCTCTTTGCTGGAAAAGTATCCAGCGTGTGTCCCCAAGTACTCATTGCACCCCTGTGAAGAGGGTCAGGATGTGTGTGTCACTCCCCCACGACTGCCACGGGGCTCCTCCTCACCACGCCTGGCAGCACTCACAGATAGTGCCAGGTGCCAAAGTGATGTGATGCCCCAAACTCATTGTGGTTTGTGTCCCACTTCTCAGTAGGGCTTGCGAAGCTTCCAATCTGCTGCCTGTTAAACTCCTCAGCGCCACGTGGGAGAACGTGTGGGAGAACATCCTTGGTGGGCAGCAGCCGTAGACAGGCCTCACATTTCCTTCGTGAGCTCCGTAAGCCCTCGGAGGAAGGCTCACAGCCCACCCAACTGCTTGTGCTCCGAGAGAGGATTGCGCTGGTTTTTCCTACGATGTTTCCACCCCGCAGCACCAGCACAGCCCCACGTCCAGCCCTGCTCAGGGCTTTCCCAGCCCGCGCCTTGGTGCGGCCGCGGTGTTAAAACGACCAAGCTCTGAGCAGCCCGAGAAGAAACCCCATGTGCCAGGCACGGCGTGGTGCCGCTGCTGCCTCACCATAGCCCCTCCCCTTTGAAAGCAGAGTAACAAAGCCCAGTTAACCGCGCTTTGAGGAAAACCTGACTGGAAACACCTCGGTATCCAGCCGCCCCCCTTCCCACACCGCAGCGCCGGGGGGGCGGACCCGCCGCCTGCGCAGACGCTCCCGCGGGTCCGGGAGGTGCCGCATCTGCCGCTGCCGCCCGGGGCCGTGTCCGCGCCCGGGTTCGTGTCCCCATGGGCTTCGCCGGCCTCGCAGTGCCCTGCCCGGGCCGTCCGGGCGCGCCTGCCCGCGGCCAAGAGGCTCCTGCCCGCTTCACTTCGGGCTCGGAGCGAGATGGCCCTCGCTGGGCCCCGCCGCGGAGTGGAGGGCCTGAGGCGGGCTGTGGAAGCACGGCCCTGCCCGGACAGCCCTGCCGTGCTTTTGGCTTTCCCCTTATCACCCTCGGAGACGTGTGGCTGCCCTTGGGGCGCTGCAGCTGCGTTTCTCCTCGGGGACTGGTGAGGGGGCGGGCACAGCGGCCGGGCCGAGGCCGCGGGGTGCTCCGGCGTTGGGGGGGCCTGGCTCGGCCTGTGTTGCTCTTGTTGTCCTCCACTGCCAAGGGAGCGGTTGTTGAAATAATTCCGTGTCTGCCTGCAGGAAAAGGGGAGAGAAAGGACACCGGGAGGAAGAGAACCCCCTCACCTGCATCCGCCCAAACCAGCTGAGCGGGGCAGTGGGTAAGGCCAGCGCCTCGCACCCGCCTGTAATCCACTGCACTTTCCGGGTGTGCTGCCAGCCGGGAAGGCTTGTGCAGGACTGGTGGCATGCCTTTGGGTAATGCCTGGTAGTATTTCCACCGTTTGAGGGTGGCCCAGAGGAAAATCCGGTTTCCTCCTGAAACTACTCCTCGTTGCTCACTGAAAATAACTGTGGTAATGGCAGAGGGTGGCAAACAGGATTTGGGTTTTGTGAGCCTGTGGTTTACTCTACAGGGTGGGTTATGTGGCCCTCTTAAAACACGTTTCCTGGCTGAGGTTTGACACAGCACAGACTATCTGTTGACATCAAGGCGCTGTGAGATAAACCTGTTGGGGAAATACCGCTCTCCACAGGAGGGAGGGAAGGTTGCCAGCTTTAATTTGCTTCTCTGCCTATCTGGCGGCTTCTTGTAAAGAAACTCTTGACTTTATTTCTAGAATAGACCAACCCTTTTCCAGGAGGTCTCCACTGCTGTCAAAAGCATTACAGGGCCTTACTAGATGTGCTGTCTCTGATTCCTATGAAAACTTTTCTTCTGTGCCAGACCCAAGAAACAGGGGTGTACGTGATGACTGACTGTTGACATCGGCTGGCATATGTACTTTGAAAGATCACACTGTCCATCAGCCAAGTCAGCTGATGTGAAGCATCTAACTGACCTGTTTGTTTCATTCCAGGAAGATGGGATTGACAAACCATGAAGGAATAATGAGGGAATCCTGAAGCAGTAACAGTGTTTGCTCCTGGACTCTGCCCAAGGGGACTGTTTGCATATCAGTGCTCTTAACCAGGTATGGCACAGAGATAATAGTGCCTTTCTTTCATATGCCTGAAGGCCTGGGGCTGAGCCTATTCTCACAAACAGGTCTCACCATCACTTTTGGGAGTAGGACTGCTGTGTACTTGACCTAGGAGATCTAGAGGGAGCTCATCCAGGGGAAAACTCTTTTTTTTTTTTTTTTATACAGCTGGTTTGTTTTATTTAAACCTGATCAAAACATGGTTGCACATGTTGTTAGTCCTGTTGTGGCAAGACAAGGAAGGAGACCAGCACAGCAGCTGACAGAGACAGCCAGGACTACTGCAGCCCCATCAATGGCAATCTGGTATCACACCAGCAGCTCCTGTTGCTGTAATTTGCTACTTACCCTTGGAGAGAGAGAATTCCTTGGAGTTTTGGTGTGGGTTTTTGGGGGGTTTTTTAGTTGGTTTTTTTTTCCAGACCAGTGACTGAATAGGCAGTTCTCTAAAATATGCTTGTACTTAAAAAGTAGCACACATCATGAACACAATATGTGAGGAAAGTTTCTCCTTCTATATGTTCCTTGTGCACAGATTGTTTGTGTTTTGGGACTTGAAGAGCAAGGGAGGAGAAGCTTCCTTCTGCAGTGACTGATCTAGGGAAGAGGGTTGTGTACTTTGTTTTGGTTTTAACCTTCCACTCCCTTTTCCCTGGAAACTTCCTGTGAATACATGGACCTTGTCCCTCCAAGGCAAGGCAGCTGTTCTTCTCTGGTATTACAGCCAACATTGCCAATCTCTTCATCAGTGAGTTGGTCAGCATTTTGAAAGGTCAGAGGTGCATCTTAGCTAAAAGTTTACTCAACACAGAAACACCTGAGGAGTGGTGGGGGTTTTGTGTGGGGGTTTTTTTTGGTTTTTTTTAAATCTTCTCATGGGGGTATTGACTTTATTTTCCAGTACTAATCCTTTCGGGGGATTTCTTTGCCCTCTGGGCCTGTAACATTCCTTACTGATAATAACCCCGAGACAAGAATTTGTCCTCTTCTTTTATGGAAGAGAAGATAAATGTGAGCCTGCCGGGTCACAGGCCATTTCCTGACCACTGGATCTGGTTCCTCTGTCCTGTCACTCTTTACTGAAATAGAAGGAGCTCCTGCCCTCCCAAGTTTTTGCATTTCACTTCTCTTCTGCCCCAGACACTTGTGTGACTGTGCTTGGAGCTGCTGGACTGGAACACTTTAGTTTCATCCTCTCCAGAAGAGTTGCCCATCCGCTGTGGCGCTTGATGTGGAGCTGAGTGGCACCAGCCCTGTCCTGCTCTCCACCCAGCTGTGTGTTCTTGCCCTCTGTGGTGGTAGATGGGTTGAGGACTCTTGACAGAAGGATGTTGGGGTGTGGGGATGCCTCAACCAAAGCTTTCCAAAGTGTTTTACACAGGGTATACAACATAGCTGCCCGAGTGTCTCCACACCAGGAGGTCTTTCCCATCCCTGTGAGACTGAGACTACCAAGTTTTAAGATGCTTTTTCTTTCTGCCAGTGAACATAGTCAAGAGGAGTGGGTTTAACTTGGGACTTCTGGAAGCATCAGTAGAAAGGGACCCTGTAGAACATATTTCCTTCTGAATTGCCCACCGTGGAGGGCATATACTCCATGGCTTCCTAGTTTTGGGGCCTGCGTCTGTACTTCTGGGAAGCCTCTAAGAAAGCCAGGTTTATTGTGGACTCCTAGTTATCCTACTTAGGGCTGAGGGCTGCTGTCTCTAGGATTTGCTGTTTTTCTTTCTTTACATCTTTAAAATTGCGCTTCTCTTTTTAAATGAAATATAATTGTGCTAAAACAATTTCTCACAGCTCATAAAGTGGTACAAAAATGCCAAATCATTTGTGTTGACTTCTGCTTAGATTTTCATGCTGTAAAAACCCAGCTCAGTTGCATTTATGTCTGCAGTGGGACCATGGAAGGAACAGAGATGTCACCAAGTGTTAACTCAGAGGAGAGCAGTGTGTTGGACCTTCCATCTGTTTGTGACCTGGCAGAGCTCTTTGTGCCTCCATGCAGCACTGAAAACACTGAGGAACTTTATCGTTCTGTGGATGCTTTTCCCTCTCTGCCCACAGGTAACAGCTTCTGTTTCTCCACATGCTCTTTCTTTAGCCGGTTCAGGCAGTGTGTTGTGTGACTAGGTAACTGCAGTCTGGTACTGGTGCATCTGCCTCTTTTAAAACACAGTTTAGCAAAAGTACAGTCTGTTCAAGCTCCCCAGATACAGTGTGGCTGATGAGACACAGAAGAGGAGTTCAGAGGATACTCTCAGCTGCTAATGTTTTTACAACACTCTTTCTTCATGTGTAATGTGTTCTCAGAAGGAGTTACTTGAACTAATCCACAGAGCAGTCGTTCAGACATCAGCAGGAAATAATGTCACATATTACCATAGTCAGTAAGAAGTTCTTAAACTTTTCCTTATCTTCTTCATGTGCTCATCATGTATCTTCCAGTCATGAACTCAGGATGTGGCCTCTGTAGCCCATTACTTTAAAATTATAACTGAATGTTTGCTTATGCTAATGACATGAGTGTGATGAGAACTTCATTTCAACTCCTGGTAGGCAGCAGTTTCCTCACTTGAAAGAGGGCTGATTCCAGCAGAAATATCATTTTAGGTCAGCCACTACTGCCCATTCTTGGGAGTAGTGGTGTATCTGAGATGATAAGCTGACACATGCTCAGTCCTACAGCCCTCAGGCCAGTCAGCTTGAGTACATGGCAAGAAAGGTGAAATCGAAATGGCCCAGTGACATTTCTTGCCTTATATTCATGCTGTCTGGGATGAAGGTTGTATATTTAATATATTTAACATATTAAATATATTAAATATATATTATATATTAATTATATTTAATATTGGGGAGGGAAATAAATTCTGGTCAGCAAATAATGTGTGGAGAGGATTTGTCAAGACACCTTAGCAAGTGAAACATCACTGATGACATTTCTGGTTGCTTTAAAATCTTAAGTAGTGTAAAAGTAGAATTTAGTTCCTTCTTACTCTGACACTGGGTGGTTTTCTTTGGTCTGCTTCCAAGAAGCTAGCTTGGAATCTGACAGGTGAGTTTTTTCAGTGGGAATTCCACAATTTTTGCATGCTAAACAGGCAAGCAGTGGGATCTACCAACTAATGAGCTCTGTTGATGTTGACTACTTGCCTGTTCAGTTGTCTTCACCACCAGGTGTGAGACATCCAGAACTGTAATGAAATCTGCAAACAGTAAATACCAAGCCTTGCTTTGGTTTTGCTGTGCAGACCAGGAATTCACACATCTTATGTTAATAATGATGAAAATCTTCTGCTCTTAACCTCTACTTTAAACCGTGATACCTATCACATTCCATGATCCACGTTGCATTAAAGCAATAGGGCCTCTGTTTTGAGGTTTTGCTTTATTGTTTGTGTATGAGTGCAATGACCATCACTATGAGGAATGCCCTGAGCAAGCCTTTTCCTCTGTTGTGGGAGAGGAGGATGGAGAAGTTCCTCTGATAGTGAGACAGGCTCGAAGGCATTTGTTTACTCAGATTTCACAAGCCCTGTGGTGCAGGTATGAAGAAATTCTGGGAGCTGTGAGGCAGTTCCTGCAGTGTGTTGCACAGGCACCATTTAGTGTGGCTCAGGACAAGTGGACCTGATTGCTCTGTGGAATGGGGTGCACAGAACTGCATGACCAGTTAGCAGTCCTAAGAGTGTTCTGAGGCTTAGTGGAAGTGACATGTGGAAATGACAGCACTGGGCAAATCATTAATGGTGCACGTGTGGAATATGTAGCAGAAGCTCAGTCTCAAGGTATGCTGAGAGGCCACATCCTGCCTCCTTGCTGTCTCCAGCACCCCCTGATATCAGTGTGGATTCCAGCTGTGCTGAGGAGGGCAGATTAGGCCCATGAACCCTCTCCTTTTTTGCTTGTTTTAGAGATTGCTCACAACTGAAACCAGTTGGAAATAACTGTGGGATGCATGCTGTACAATGGTTCCTTACTCTGTGCTCCTGGGATTGAAATAACCAAGTATCACAGCATAACCAGTTCATGCTCTGAATATCTTGGTTCCTGTCTCCTTGTAACACCATCAAACCAATATACATACTCTCTTGAACTCTCTCTTTTGATGCAACTTCAGCTTTCTAAGCCACTGAGTTTGGTCAGTGTGGCAGAAGAGGCAGGAGGAGGCTTTTAAAATTAATCTGCCTGTGTCAGATGTTCTTGGACAAGCAAGTTCTGTCAAATGTATCTTGGGAAAGGAAGCTCCTTTACTTGTTTGTTTTCTCGTGAGACCCTGAGAACTGCTGCTGTGACACAACGTAAGCGAGGAGAGCAGGAGTGGCTATAGGTTATGTGACCAGAAGATTGCATCCTGGGGCTTGGGCAGGACGGATGGTGAGTATTCCCATCAAACTTGAAAGGTTTCTGTTCGGGGCGAGGATCTTCCTTAATGATTCAAAAACATTTCCTCTGGGAACGTGACAGCTTCCTTAGGAAAGGAACAGACTGCGGGACAGGCTGTGTTTTCTGACATCTGCCGCTGAACTGGACTGAGACTGACTAAGATGCCCTGCCATCAGTGCCTCAGGAGATGGAAGTGGTTATGGGGGTATTCCCGGTGTCTGAGTCACTCATAATAGGTCTTATTAGCCTAAAGAGGCTCCATCACTGGTAATAGAAGATAGTACCCATTAGCCATGAAAACAGGACTTTCTGGCAGCAGGCATCCCTGGGCAAGAAAACAAGTAGTCCTGTAGGAATGCTGCTAAATCTCTAAGTTCTGTATAAATGAGTGGTTTTATGATTTGTGTGGAAATGAGGGTTCTACTCTTGCAACAAGCATTCAGACCTTTAGCTTGTTGTCATAGTGAGTTTAAGTGTGTAAGTGGTGATAGACTGAGAAAATTGAATTGGATCAGTGGACCTTTCAGTGTGCTTTATCTTTTTTTACTCCATAATGGAAAATAGTTTTTAAAAATAAATTGTTTATTATTTTTTTAATCTACATCACTCAGTTGCAGAGTTCAGCAGGAACATCTTACTACTTCCTCTCGATTAAGAAAAATTGCCAGCAAAAGTTCTTACTTGGCAGGCAGCACTCAGGTGTGTGTGTGGGAAAGCCTTAAATTATTCAGATTAATATTTCAAAAGAAGCTAATAATGGTTGTTTCCAAAGCAAATAAATCACTCACAGTGTAACTTTTCATTTAGGGCACTGAACCAGAGGGTACCAGGGACAGTGGAAACATAATATTTGCCTGGAAAATTAGCAACCTAAAAAACTGTAGAGAATAGGCAACAGATGTGCTCTACAAGTTGATTCAGGCAAGGTTCTGACCTCTACCCATGCGCTGTGATCAGCCAGAATTGAGTTTGTCAGTGCAGCCCTGGAGTAATTCTGTTAAGTTTGGAGGCAGCATTTGAGAGCTCAGCTGTGGAACCACACTTGGGAGGCTCCTGTGTGAAGCATGGCCAAAGCTCAGTCCCATCTGCCTCCATGGCCCTTGCCTAGGGCTGATGATCTTGGGGAGATGGGTCTCCTTGTTTGCTCTGTAGCTTCTGCCTTAATCGCTTTTTCTTTGTAATGAAAAGTAATTAAAAAGCTGTGTCCTTAGGAAAATGGATGGGTAGACAGGGTCAGCCAGTGGAGGAAAATGGGGTGGGTGCCACAAGAACAGAGAAAATAAGAGGGATGTGTCTTGGTTTGAAAACCTCCACAGGATGACAGTAGGAGAGGAAGGATGATGCTGGAGAGATGGGGTGGTAAAGGAACACAGAGTTTACCATGGGCTTGAGGAGACCTGCAATTATCTAAAAGCTGGCTAGCTTTTTTAAAAAAAAGCAAAATGAATTAAAGCCAGTTTGGGAGGATAGAGGTGTTCAACCTTTAGTTGCCTCTCCAAAAGCGCTGCTTCTCTTCCTGTAGTTTTCTTCTAGTTTGAGCCCAGGCTTACCTGTAGTTGTTTTCCATAGACTTCCCTGACCTCTCTAATGCGGTGAGAATCCTAGGCTGCCTCTGACTGTGCTTATTATTCCTGGTCAATCCTTAGTGTTGGTACATAGGTGGCCACATGAGAAGTCAGCTCAGGGAATTGGCCCAGCTTTCTGGGCAGCCACGTGAATATTTGTGTGGCTGAGATGGGGACAGCTCCTCTTTCAGGCAGCAGCACAAGTACAGCCAAGATACAGTGTCTGCAACATGCCCTGCCTTTCACAGGGGGTTACAGTCTTTGCAGGATGGTGGTTTCTGAAAGAAGTAGTGCTAAAGTATTAATCACTTTTCCCTTTGTGTAGCCAGGCTGTAGGTTCTTTCTGATCAATTGTGAGGGGTTTGTAGGCTTTCTTCAAAAATAGTTCATGTGGAATAAGTTGTGAGAGCTTGGGGAAAATGGAACAGACTCAATGGCTTCAGGCAAATCAGTGAGCCTGGGCCATGGCACTGCTACTGAAATTGCCATTCAAATCAAGAGGACTGAGCACAAGATTATTCCAGTTTAAAAGTAAAAGCCATAATGATTTTTGGACTGTTCTGTTTGCTTTCTGGGTTTTCAGTCAACCAAGCTTCTATGTAAAAACAAAACAGAGATTATCAACCTGTTGCCACAGAACTTACATGCCTGGTTTTGTGGTGGGTTGGTGTGTCTTTTATTAGGAACTGGGGAGCGGTGCTAATGTTGGTACATGTGTTCTGACTTGTCCTTAAATGCTTTCTCCTGTTTGCCACGTCTGCTGGCCTGTCAACAGTTGCTTAATGTGTTCTGCAGAAATGGGTTATGTTTACTTTAGAAGTCTGGCGTGGCCCGTGCTTTTTCTGTTGGCGGGAGTTCACGAGTCCACAAGTGCTGACGTAAAGGGAGAAAATGAAAGGAGTGGACTTTGGCATGTCAGCAGCAACCTTTCCAAGGTTGACACTTGATGGGTGCTTGGAGGTTCAGTTCAGCCCAGAACTCAAGTGTTCATTACTTGGTATAGAAATTACAGCTTGGCCATCTGAGCTACCAAAAGTTGCAAAATTTCCAAAATGGCTTTTTGTCTGGCCATGCTGAAGACAACCTGAAGGCTAAAGACCTTTACATACAGTC